ATGAGGTCTAGCAGATTTTGTACATCAGACAGATCAGAGAAATTTTTCAGAGGCACTAGGCCGAAAACATCGTCTGCAAATAGGGAAGCTGTCACTGATGCCGGAAACGTTGAAACAAGATCATTTATAAATATTAAGAACAAAAGTGGGCCTAGAACACTGCCTTGTGGCACTCCAGTTTTGAATACCTTTTGACAGAAAAGAGCTATAGAGCTTCGGCTTTCGCCATTTGAAAGAAGCATGTTTCCATAACTAAAATTGTTTTCAGAAGAGTTTTCTGAAACAGGTTTCCTAGAAGATCTTTGAAAAACTAGGCCGTCTGTAAAAATTTTCCAATAGGATTATATAGCTTTTTTTCCATGGACTGATAGCCCGGGGTGTTCTCTTCAAAATGGAAGTAAAGTGAGGCCTTGATTTCCCGCAGTTCGGACGTTGTATCGGATTTCCTACGGGGGAATGACACCCGATGACTATTGGTAGCCTTAAAGACGGATGCACTACGGGTCATCGACCATACTGAGTTTCGTGGCAACATTTGTTTTTCAAAACAGTTCCAAAAACCTGGTGAAAACCTATACTAGGCGAAATAACCCATTTTTGCCTATTTTTGAGTAAAATTCATAACTCAGTTAAGATCCATCCAAATTATGTCAGAATATCAAGATATACTCTATTTTATCTGCTCCAAATAATTTTTTACTTGAGAATAGTAAAAAGCATTCTTGTACTTCGGAAGCATTCTAGAAAACCCTTTCAAACACCAGAGTATTTTCTGTCGATTTTAAAGCTTCTATTAAAAGTATTGATCAGGTAAGATAGAATACATCTTGATATTTTGACATAACTTGGATTGATCTTGACTGAGTTATGAATTTTTGAATTTTACTCAAAAATAGGCCAAAATGGGATAAAAATCACCTAATGTATGTTTTCATTAGGATGTTTCATTAGGATTCCATTCTCGAGTTATTCATGTCGCAATCACCCACAGTATATTTTGGAATGGATAGTACTGTAGTACTTAAAGTTCTTGAACTATTACCTAATTTTCCACTGAATTACTGAATGATTCAGAATATGTAACACGTACTGACGAAAGCTCAAAGATAAAGAATTTATCATATAAAGTATGATACAATTTACAGCAGCTTTAAGTCTAGTCATTCTAATTTATTATTGTATACAATGTGACGTTTCGAAATGTACACATTTCATCATCAGACAATAAGATACGAAGTTTACTATACAGAAAATTTGATGTAACAGAATTGCAACACAAATATAGAGAAAAACGATAAAAACACATCATTTAATGGTAAAGTGAAAAGAAGGAAAAGATGAACACGATATAAATAAATTATTTTTATTTAATATTCAGTATTACTCTTATTTCGTCTTTTATAGCATCAGGCATAAATGTTCTTCTTAGTGTATCATTTAATACTTTTATTTTGTTCTCATTCGAATAGTCATCATAATCATATCTAAACGAAATAAATGTTATTAATAAACTTAAATAATCATCATCTTCTTTATATAATGAACTATTCTGATCTAATGGTGATGAATATTTTCCTGTACCAACAGAAATTTTTCTTTTTTCATAATCATCCATACGACATGACACATCAAAATCATTTAATGGTAAGTTGTCATTAATAATAATTATATTTGTCGGTTTTATGTCTCGATACAGATACTTTTGTTTATGTATATGTTCAACAGTTAATTTTGTTTGAGTAAAATACTTTTCAAAATTTTCATTAGTTGTTAAATGTTCACTATTTAATGGAATACCAAAGCCACTAAGTTCTATAAATGAAATATTAGCACCACATCCTGTTACTTCATCCCATTATTCTAAATTTAACATTGAACGAACATATGGGTGTCCATCTGATATTTTATGAGCATTCATTTCATTTCTGATTAATTGATCTTTTGATATCTTAATCATTAACCTAATACTATTTTGCCCATTATCATCTTAAACAAATATTTGTAAGAGTGTGCCCCAAAACAGGTAAGTGCATAATACTGTAGAACAACCGCTCAATAGGATGCAATTTCAACGTTTTTTGAATGTTTATTTAAACAAATACAAGCATTGGTCACAAAAATCTGTAAAAATATGACATGTATGGCGCAGTGCACGATAAAACATTAATCATTAAATTTCTGTCACATTTCTAAAGTTTTGTCTGATTTTGCTAAAAATCTTTATAGAACGGTATATCGGAGAATGAAGCTCTTTTATGGGCATTACTATCCTTTCATGCCGCTTTGTAAACTTTTTTTGAAATAAAAGGTCTCGATTTGCCACATAGACTGTTTACAACTATTCCTATAAATTCAAACGGAAACTGATAAAGCAGATTCCAAACTCAGCTTATCAAACGCTTGGCAAAAACATTTAAATTAGACAACTTGAAAGCAGACTTGAAAAAAGATTTTTTCCAAAATGTAGAACGTAGAATTCTCTACCATAGGATAGATGTTTTTGTTATTTAACAAAATTGTCTAGGTCAGAATATTATGAAGAAGGAAAAAGGGCTACATTTTTGTCAACAGGAGTAAAAATATTCTAATTTTTGAAATATCCAGCTTCTCTCGGATAAAGATTCTATCATATGAATATCAAAGGCCAGGATATCGTCTATACATGCCACACTTCAAACCTCCTTTACAGCTTTTGTAGATATCAAAAAGAACCAAAAAGAAAAAGGGTTAAACTTTTGTGATCCAATTTAATCTCATAAGAGTGAAACTTTAGAATGATTTAGATTGGAAATACGGTTTTTGAAAAACAATATGAACAGAAATACATTGATTCTTTATATCGGTTGTATTAAGTACTAGAAAGGGCAAGTCGAATTAAAGTGACATTACATCTCGAATCTGTAGTGAGATTCTCAGTATTTCTACCTGTAGCTGATGCTTCACTTGGTTTTTCATTTTCATCTTTTTCTACCAATATAATTGATTTTCTTGTTTGTTCAATAATTTCGATTTTACCATTTATCGTTTTATGAATCTCATTATTATATAGAAACATAATCTCACATTTTTTTATATTATATCTTGTACATAATGTTTCAACTTATTATAATAATAATTTAAATCCCATTGTTGGTAAAGTTGGCAATAAATGTTCTAATGCACCATAATCATCGTGATCAATCATTTTTAATGAACATAATTCTCCAATAGGAACTTGATCTTGTACAGGAAACTGTGGATAAACAAAACTTTTGGATAAGTTCCATTCATCATTCTCAAATTTATATATAAAATCAATCAACCAAACACGACGTATACGGCTCATGAATGTACATAAGATACGTGCTTCATCTATATTGTCTAAACGCGAACGTTTATGATTCGATTCATTTAATTTAACTAGTCGACCGATGGTGGCGTATCCCTATTGATGAGCTTGCCGATATATGTCGGATATAATAGGTGTGGTTTGCCGTGGCTTTCTTTGAGTGAATAGAGGACGTCGTACTTGTTAATCAGCTCGTCTTCTTCTCTTCGCAGACAATAGCCAACGTATCTGAGTTGGCGCCGTCGGATCTGTAAAACTAGATTCCAAGTGTTTTGTAGATTGTTTCGTTTCCAACGATACATCTTATATCTTCACGCGTTGAATCATTAAAATCTTCTTTTAAAAATGATATATAATTCTGATCAGCACTCGCTGCTTGACAAAATAACGAATAGGGATGACATCCCTAGTGAAAGTACTGATATGATGAGTAAGACTTTACTCATAATTCGTCCATGAGTACTCATATTAGTACTACTAACAGTTTTTCAATATTGTTACTCAGTGAGTATTCAGTTACTCATGTGAGTACTCAGAAAATATTCTTTCACCGTTTTATTTTGCTAAACTGAAACTATATAAAGAACGTAGAATTTAGTGAAGAAACATAGAATATTTATATTATTATTTCCTCACTAGTCTCTCTGTATATAGTCATGGATGGACTCGTCTATGACTGGACTTGTAGTCCTACTCTGGCTGTCTGAGATCACTTTCCTGCATGAAAATATCAGATAAACAATATTCATGAGTATTTTGTCATAAGTGATATGAGTACTCAACAATACCCAAGCACGAGTACTCAAAGTCGTACCTACAGTACTCGTTACTCACTCATGAGTACTCATGTGAGTCCTCAATGAGTAAAAAAATGTGTGAGAGTACTCATGAGTACTCGGGACATTTTTCAGCAGAGTACGACTTTGAGTACTCACACTTGAGTACATTCACTAGGGATGGTACTTCTAAGTCGTGTTTTCCCTTTTTTTGTTTTCTTTCTTTTCTCATTTGTTTTAGTTGTTTTAGTTCAATACTAGCTGAATTCATATGAAATTTTAACCATCTGAATTCTAACACTTAAGGACATAATTGTTCTAAAATATCATCATTATTAACAATACCACATTGAATATTTTTGTTGATAACATGTTCATTCCATAATTTACTTTCATCAATATATTCTATTGGCATTGATAATGTGTAAACACTGGTATTTTGTTTTTGTTTAAACTATTTGCTAAACAAATTAATAAAACAATTATTCAGAAGTTTTTTCATTCACCACACTGTCAATATATTTTTAAAGTTAGCACTCTTTTAAGCAATGCACAAAATCTTTTAAAAAAAGTTTACATAGTAAGTTTACATGTTTTCTTCTCTTATTATAATCTAATGCCTCTAAGAATCATTTCATAAGAAGTATGGTCTTTTACCAAGCCCAGACTAGAAGACGGAGAGACATTGCCCGCCGCTTGTGTGATTAGTCGCTCAGCATAACACGGAAAAAGAGCTACTTTTTCGAGCGTTTCTACTGGAGAAAAATGAATTTCGTAAAAATTTCCTAGGCCCTAAAAATCGCCTTTTTCTAAATTTCACGTTTTAATTAAAATTTTTAAGGTTGTTCGTTATAACAGACATGGAGCTACGTTGAGCAGAGTGTTCTGATCGGAATGAGATGTCCAGCAGCTTTGTACGACTTTGTCTTGCAGAGTTATGTTATACTAGTTTTGCTAAAAGCGCTGAACTATAATTAATGAAGTGATGATGTCATTGCTTAGAATACAGATTGGGCGCAGTAAAGTTGTAATAACTCCTAGACGATTCATCGCAAAACCTTCATTCTTTTTTTATTTTGAAGCTAAGACATTTATCTAAACTATAATCCGCGACGATTTTTGTTTTCTGTGTAAATATAAGTGGCAAATACTCCGCCGACTTAGGGTTATTTTCAGAGGTCTGAGTTAAAATACGTGTAGGAAATGAACAGAAGCAAAATTCAAAAATCGCCGCGGATCAAGTTTTAGATTTAGGTGTCTACTTTCATTTGAGGCCTCTCGCAGCTTTCTGCATCTTCCAACAAAAAAGCCTTTACATTATTGCTAAGAGCCCCATTTTGCCCCTTGCCACGCATAACTCGGCAGCGCTTCAATGTTTCGATCTCGAATTCTTAGCATAAGCTAGTAGGATAGTAAGCATTAGTCACTGAAAGCGCCATCGAAATCGGATGTAAGATATAAAAGTTTTTTCCTAAGGGAGGTGGCCCTTAATGAACTTTAATTTTTAGTAATATTTGTGTGAAGAGACTATTTGTAATATGATATAACATGGCGACATCTTGTTTTGAGTTTAAAAAGATAGAGTACAGTTTGAGATAAAGTAATCCGATCACGCCCTTTTCTGTTTTTTTTACGTTCTTTTCAGTTTGAAATGACGCTATCATCCAAAAATACCTTTGTTGCGCAATCATGACTCATTACATTGCAGCAGACTAAACCAAGCGTTATGTGATAATAAGACCGATATTTCTATTCTACATTGCATTTGCAAAATAGCCTAAAATGATGCTGTTATAAGTGGTCTCGCCGCTTTTTACCAAGTCAAGCACGCAAACCGTGCAAACTAAGTGAGTATAAATAGAAAATAAGAATCATTTTCTGATTATTTACTATCTATTGTACGATTACAGCAAAGTTGGAGTAATAAAATAAGCCTAAACGTGCGCAAAAGCGCATTGCCAAGCAGAGTCAGGTATAACATTTAGTTTATAATTCGAAACCACTGTCTGTTTTGAATTGATAGTCTACCTTTCGTAAGCGCGAAGCGCTCATGATAAATATACTTCTCTTTTTAAGGAAGAGCGTCTGATTGTACTCCAGTGACATTTGTTATAATCTCGGAAATAACATCAGTTCATTATAGATCTAGGTGACGCTTAGTTTTTTACTATCCTCAAATAAATGTTATCAGTTATTCGTTTCGTAGCAATAGATTTTTCGTTTTGTGAGACAGCTGATTTATCTTAACTCTAAATATTATTTTTCTTTCCCTTAAATATATACTTGTGTCAAATGAGGCCATTACAGAGAAACGGATGAAGGAATCTAATACACAAGATAAAGCTAAAGAAACAGTAATCTTTCTTGTTTTTTAGCTCTCAAAATGGGACTTATGGATTTCTCGGCTCTATTTTTCACTGACACAATTAGAATACGATCAAATTTTACAAATGAATTCAACGGAGTTGAGTCATTTTTTATTGACGCCCCAAATTGGGGTCAAAAACGGATTAAATCCGTTATCAGATGAGTTTATTCTCTATGACGATGATGACATACCTAATAGCAAACAAACACAACAGCATTATGGGCTATTAAATGATAGCCAATTGTTTCCAAATGCTGATTTGAATTACGATCATGAAGAAAAATCAAGTATGTATAACGAACACATATCATAGTATGAGATAAATGAGGGATAAAAACTTTTTCTTTGGACATAGTCACCCGCGGATTTATACTTTGCCAGAATTTGCAGTGTGAACTGAATAAATGTAGAAAAAGATCGATTATTGAGCTATTTTTTCCTAGCAAAAGTATCATCAGACATCAAGATTTTTCTGATCAGTCTATCTTATCATAGTTGATGTATTTATTATGCATTAGATAAATGTTCTTTTCAGTTAACATCGATGTTGGAGATATTCTTAATGGTATAGATCTTGGATGGGAACTACAAAAATTAATTCATGGTTCATCCTGTTCAATAGCACCAGCAACAGATCTTCCATTATCTCTACAATCCATAAAAGAAGAAGAATCCTCATGCTCAACTGCGATGCTCGACGAATGGATACCGGATGATATCTGCGTTGGACAAGAATGTATCATCGGTATTCCGTCTCCAACAACTGCACAATACGATACCGATAACACCACATCTGTTTCATCCGCATCACCTTCGATAATATCAGATATTAGAACATCAACGGATTCATTCACCAATGATTCAATTCTTCCGATAAAGAAACGTCGTCATCGTCGCGGTTTAACACAACCCGAAAAGAAACAGCGAAAAAAACTACAAAATAAAACAGCAGCTGAAAAATATCGACTTAGAAAAAAATTAGAAAAGCAAACAATACAAGATATAAAATCACAATTAATAAATAATAATAAAGAACTGCAATTGGAAGTTGATAACTTAGAACATCGAATAATACAACTGAAACACTTATTTTATGATATATTTCCAATCAAAGAAGAACAACAAAATAATGGCAATCTCTAGTATGAAATGGAAGGATTTAAATGTTTCTCTTTTTGAGAAAATTGTTATACATGTTTATTTGTATGTATTCTTCCGATTGTAATTTTTCTCTTAGAAGAAAAATTCATATACGATATGAACTGTTTCTGTTATGTTGGATAAAAAATGATTTTGTAATATTGTGCAGTGTTGTTTGAAAAATGAGAGTATTTCACTTAGATGATAAGAATGTTATTGTCATGATATGAAGAATGTTTGTTTTTCAATAGAACACGAAAAATTCTCTATTAACTGTCTTTTTGGTATGTTGTCTGATTTTCGATAACTGTAAACTTCTTTTTGGAAACAATTTTGTTTGTTGTAATCGTTGTACCTATATGTTTGTGTACTTTTGAAGATCTGACCGTCGTTATCATTAAAAACAGTTTTAATTATAATTTTTTTTATACTGTGCTCTTTTCTGTTCATGTATATGTGTGTAGTTTCTTTCTCTTTTTGCTAACAAACACAGGTAGTCTTTAGAACAATTGATTGTTGTATTAAAAATTTAATTGGATAATAATAAGGTTTTGTATGGAATTATGTGTGTTATATGCTTGTTCTAATGCATTGTTGTATTTTTTTCTCCATGTTCCGTGCCTCATTAGTGTTGTTATTTTTGTTTCAAATTATGTACATCGACTACCTTGAACCTCGTTTTTCAATTTCACATTTTTGTCTTTTCTCTAATTGCTTTTTTATTTACCTTTCACACGAAAATAAAATAAATATTTACTCACAAAAAAAAATGATCAAGTTGATGAATTTATACGAATTTATGAATGGTCATATTTCGGTTTTCCAAGCTTGTAGCTTTACATAAATGTAACATTGAACATTCGACTTTTGTAGCTGGAAAAAAAGACAGTATATTGATTGTTTTCAAACTAGTCACTATTTTGTGTATTTGATGTCAGAAGAAATTGTGAGAACACGGTTTAGTTCCATTGACTGGAATACCCAACGCAACGAAAAAAATTCCTATAGAAATCACAATTTCGCCAAATGTTTCAGGTCATCCAGCATAATCGATTCGATTTGACTTAATCCGAATATGAATTACAGCAAAACAAAAAAGAATATTCATAAGAAAGAAAGATTAGTCTTGCCATTTATTATTTTCGATCGAACGTAAAAGTAATATAATGTTGACCGTCGATGGATCTAAGCTTAAGCGACGGTGCTTAAAAATTTGATCGGCGGCGTTGAATTTGCGTTCAACCGCAGATGAGCTACAAGGAATCAAAAATATCGTTTTGGTATATCGATAAATGAAAATTAATGTTACACTTTCTGCAAGAGTAAACGATTATTTATCAAATTATCAGAGTTCTCTTATTAATTGATGTTTCAATTCTTCAAGAAGACGCAATCAAATTATCACTAAACGTTACCATGAGTTTGGAAAACTCAATCAGATATAACCTACGATTTCTTTGTCGTATTTTATATTCTGTATCTGCCACAAGGCTTTAGGTAGGCTGCTAACGTAAATCCCTTCATTTTATTCATTACTTTGTATATTGTTGACTAATCAATACTCATTTTTTTTGCCGATATTAAAGTCTTTAAACTATTATCCATTTCAAAATAGAATGAGTTTCAAATAACTGGAACACGAAAAAAGATAATAACCTACGTCATTTTGTAGCCAAGTTCTTACTGAAAAACATATGAGAAAAGATAGAAAAAAGTGTCGCCTGAAGGTGGCGTGCCATACTAATCTTTCAAAGAGTAGTCTGCTAGTGAGTAACATAAAGAAATGATATCTTTTAATTTCTAATAACAGGATTCGAACGATCGAATTTACAAAAACGACGAAAGTACAAAACGAAAGTACAAAAGCCCCATATTTTTATCTATCATCGATCATCCGTGTTACAGATTTTTCTCAGAGCGCAAAGATGTGATCTTTTTGCATTGGAGGCTTAGAGATATGAAAACATAGGTTTTTGATCTTTCGGAGCTGCGTGCCAATGTTGTATACACCATGTCATGTTCTATTTGATTCTATACTCAAGATTAGTAGAAAAAACACCTTTTGAAAGGTATCTAGAATATCTTTTCAAATACGGAAGTATTTTCTATTAGGGTGAATGTTATCGAAGTTTTGGGTATACTGCACGGAGAATGGAGTATATCTCGATATTTTGAAGTAGCTAAGTTATGAATTTTTTAGTTTTCGTGAAAATTAGCCTCAACTGGATTATTTTATCTAATATAGCTTCTCATTAGATTTTGGAAGTTTTCTCAAAGAACAACATTACCGTGTGACTCAAAAAATTGAAACTCCATTTTTCCATTGCGTAATGGATAAAACTCTTCTCGTGTATAGTACTATTAATTGAGTTTACATGATGAATAGAAATACCTACAGTACATAAATAAAATTAACTTATCTAAACATAAATTCAGTAGTTTAATTAAAAAACACGTCTCCCATACATAATTCTAAACAACGTCCATCAGTACTGTATTGAATACTAAAATTCATCATGTTGATTTACGCACACTCATCACAAAACGTTGGATATTGGAGTATAAATATCTATGGTGTATTACAAAGTCAGATTTAATCGTCGACATTATCGTTAACACTATGTCTAACTGTTATTGCTAATTTTATTGACAATTTATTTATTATTGTGAATTTGATTCAGAGCGTATAGTATTATTGATTGTTAAAAATTAATCAAGATTAACGAATTTATTTCTACTTAGTTTTATATAAAATTCAATTTCATTTAACATCAAATGATGGTAATAGCACTGCTGATCTTTTTCCATCGATGAACTAGCCTGTGTAAAAGAGCAGGACATATTGATACAATTATATGAGTAGTGTAATTGCGGAAAATACATGTACAAATAGAATTGCAATAAAAACTAAAAGAAGTATATAAAACACAAGAGAGGACCAACAGGTTATACTAGCAACAATATGGAGTAGAATAAAAATTGAAAGACAGATATTAATACGAACAATTGCTAAAAAACACATACACATACATATTCCTCCACATAAACAGATCATTCCATGCTAAGAAAAAGACTACATACGAACAATAAAAAATGAAAATGAAAATGCACAGATCTCGGCATAAATCAGTTTTTATTAGTTATAATTTGACATTTTGCTCATCAAAACTATCGACAACTAATGTTAATTCTTGATCATACATTTGAGATGAACGACGCGGCATATAATCTTGACTATCGAATGGTGCACTTAAGCGTCGTGGTGCTCCCGTGTTATCACCATGTTTCTTTTTAAATTCCATTGATTGTTCTGCTAAACGGCCAGCTATTGAATAACGTGGAATACTCAAATGTGACAGATAACCCAGTCCTTGTAAAAATAAGCGAAATGATTCAGCCATTTTCGCTGGTTGTTCTTCAAGAACAAAGCCACCACAATCAGAAAACTAAAACGAAGTTGAATTAAAATAATTCTAGACAGCTATGCTATAGAGATAACCAAATCTACCTCAACAAGTGATGATTTAGCTGGATCACATTTATCATTTGTATCGACGACATCATCTTTGTGTGGAGAAGTGAAGCCGGTGACATTTATAACTGAACATCTGAATTATAGAAAAAAGAAATAAAGCGATATTCAACTCAAATCCGTTTAATTTTCTTCTTTTACTGTAAAGTTTTTGATGGTACTGCGTTTTTATTTGCATCCGATGGTCGTTCCATTGGTATTGGTGAACGGCTAAGAAATTAGACGAACAAAAAACGTTAACAATTGAAATAACAATCGAATAAACAATTATGTATCTTACTTGAAAAACGAATTCAAATATTTGATAACATTCTTAGCGTTTACATTTTCTTCTAAATGACGTCGAAGTGATTGCACAAGATCTGAATGTGTAGATTGAGTTTCCTATAATAAACAAAAATAAAAGCAAATATATAACATCTAAATAAATAATAAAATATACAATAGGAGTTATCGTGTGAAATAAAAAATACTTGTTTATTTCCAGTAAGTTAAAGACAAGAAACCTTTATTATGATCAGTCTGAAGACGACTTTCCAACTGCCGTCAAAATCGTTTGTAATATAATATTATCGTGATATTTATCTTTATGTTTGACTGCGTACTTTTTATTTATCTAGTAAGACTTACATAACCTAAATGATACCAGATAAGATAATTTTTTAACGCTTCACTCCACTGTTGATTCATAACGTCCTTTGTTGGCCACTACAAAACAAAGATATACGTTCAAGAAATGATGATTTAGTTATCATATCAGTCTTACTTTAATCGAAAAACCTTCGAACCATCCAATTGCTCTTGATATACAATTAATCAAAACTAAACCATAAATCTTTGATGGTTGCAATAGCTACAATCAAAGATATTACTTATACGCTTACAGTTCTCGCTGATTAGTAATAAAAAGATACTTACAGCAAAACGTGCCAAAACGTTTGCACCAGCACCGACTCCAAAGCCGATGGCTGATTTTATACTAGAACACACATGCGAAAGAATAAAATGCAGTCGTATGAATTTAAAACAACAAAATAAAAAATTACATACTCAAAATGAATGAAAACATCATTCACAATTTCAGCCATTTGTTCCATTGTTGGATATGATTGACTAAAAAAAAGATGTAAATAAAAAACAAATCGAAGTTCTCTAAAAGTTAGAAATATACACTTACTTTATTGGTAGTGGTACAGCACGATCTTCTTGTCCAGGCGCATTTATATGATAAATAGTAAAACATTGTGTAATTGACATCATTTCAGTAAATGAAAAAAAATGATGAAATTGAGTGGCAGCTAAACATATAAGAAAAAATAATAATTATAGTAAACAAAATTAAATAAATAATTATGTTTCTAAAGTCAATGGGAGAATTACACTACGCTGTTGAAAAACAAGTGCTTTCTTTAAAAAGCTGAAGAAATAAAAAGTTATTACTCACAGTTATAAGCAATATCATGAAACGTAACGATAACTGTACGATTTGCTGCTCCTTGTTTAGCCACTTGTACTGGACCGTGTTTTGTAGTAACAGTGATCGTCTAAATACAACGCAATGAACATCTATATATGGAGATTTTGGTCCGAAAAAAAAACAGATCGTCAGTTTTATCTTAGGTACTAAGATCAAAAAATACTTTTCTAAATACAAACCTCGACTTTTGTTAATGGATTATCGCTTAGACTTCTTTCTAGAAGGCGATCTTGCATATCTATCGATGTTAATTCAGCAGTCATCATTGATATAAGATGTAGCAAAACTATTTTCAAAAAGGATTAATTGTATTGTCTTGAGGAACAAACTTTATGGACTTTTATTGGGTAGCGTAGAAGAAAAAAAATAATCTATCCAAAATAAAAAAAATGTAAAAACGTAATATATACAGATCATTTATGAGTGAAAGAGATATATGAAACGATCAAAAATAAAAGAACGAAAGAAAATAAATCAAGTTTAACGCACTCTTTATACAATTTAGGATGTAAATGTGTGAGTGTGCATGTTCGTCACGCTGGAATGAATGATAAATAAAATCAGAAAAAACTCAACTTTTTCTTTGAAAAATAGAGTTGCTTTTCTTTTTCTTCTGATCTCTTAGTCTTCAAATCTATTGAGTCCGTAGCTTCCATAGAATTATATATCAATATTAAGGTAAGTGAATTATATTAGCTAGTCATCGGGAAGAAAGAGAACAGGCGAAAAAAATGAATCAATGTGTTATGTATCGGTACCGAAGAAATACAAGGAGAAAAACATGGACTATGTAATTTATGGAATCAGACATAGCGAATACAGATTTTGAATGTCAGAAAAGATATATGAGCTCACTGAAATTATTGGATAATAATTTCAAAGAAGCTTTATATTTGGGCAGATAAATCGTTTTGGTACTATTCTTTGCGAAGATATCAGTTCCATTATCGCGTTGACAACAGCGCTCCATTCGTGAACACCTAACAATACACACTCTTTTTCTATGGCGAGCAGATGCATATTGAATTCTGTATATATAATTGCTCTTTTGTAAACAAAATGACGATGTGAGAGAGCTAGAAGAAAGCTTTTTCAGCAGAAGTGGATTTCTTCTAAAATATAATAATAATAGAATCCGGTATTACACGTTTCTCTTTACTTGGCAATTCTGAACAACCAAGATTATTTTTATCAGAGCTGTGCGGGCACGCGATTTCTCGAGCACTTACAATTACAGAAAATATACATACACGTTATATATTATAATATATTATAACATATTATAAGGGATTTTAGTTAGAAGAAGTTGCATTTCCTCCTAAGATAAAATGAGTTTCATAAGATTTTAAGATTAAGTTGGTTTTAAAATGAAAGAAAATTGAAACTGTTAAAAATCGGAATTTAGTTGGAACATTTCTAATAAATTAGATGAGAAATAGGCAATTCTAAAGTTAAGTCACGAACGACTTTCAAGCTAAAGCCAATTATTGTTTCTATTTGTTCTAGTTGAGTTAATTTTTGTCGACTGCGATTTGAATCGACAATTTCCTTAATCCTCATATTCCCACGTGAGCACTATAGCTCCCAGAAAACAGTCGAACAAAACAAAAGTGCTCTCTGCAAAGAAGGCTGTTTCAGAAACCTTTACTGGTTCGGGAAAGTGCAACCAGGCGAGACCTGTTAGGGGCTTAGTAAAGTTGTAAAAAGCGTCGGAAAAGGTTTATGGAAGGGTTTTCAAGCCTACTAAACGCTTAAAAGGTTTCCCCTAGCTGCACTTCTCAGAACCGCAGAAAAGGTTTCGTATCAGAGTTTAGCAGCCCAAAAGTTTTCTTAAAAAACCGTTTTCGTTAGAGAGTACCCGCTATTCGTTGCGTTTCTAAAGCAAGGTTGTGCGGCTGAGAGGAGCTGGCGTTTAAATTAAAAATTTATTTCCTGAACTTAAAGTTACAGATTAAGATGATGACTTTTTCGATTTTCAGCGTATTTTTCAGTTCAGCTTGCTCGATAAATACTCCAGTACATGAATCTGCTAAAAACATCGCTTATATACAGCATAAACGCAGGTATTGTATCTTACATTTTAGCATAATTTATTAGCTGCTTACGAGAAAAGGACTTTTTGAACAAGGCAATGGAATATATCTAATTGTTAAGAATAGATCAAAATTCCAGTTAAGGCTCTAGTATAGGATAGTTATATAGTGAAAGAAAATATCGGCATGTTAAAATATTGAATGAAGCTTTGTTCCAAAAGAATGCGGAAAAGGATTTCATTGTGATTACTAAATCCAAAAGGGTTTAGGAGAAGAATGGGCTTAGTATTCAAAATGAAAATTTTTTGTTATCAAACCATTTGGGATTTCCGGTTTCGTTACAAAATCGTATTATTTTTACTAAACCTTTCTGTGTTTTGTGTAGCCAAAATGACAAAATCCTTTGAATTTTGCAATATCGACCAAAAAACTTTAGTGTATCTTACTAAACCCTTTGGGTATTGTAAATGAGTTTTATAAAAAAGGATTTTTTGATCAATATTGTAAAACCTCAGGAGATTTTCACTTAGTTACTAAATCTATTAGGTTTTTTAGACTGTCCGTCCACAAAGCCCTTTTAAATTTTAACTAAACTGTTACAGATTGCGTAAACTTGTTCTTAAACCGATAAAGGTTTCATATCAGGGTTTAGTAGCCACAAGGTTTCCTAGAAAAATTTCTAGAAAAATCCCTATCAGAGTTAAGATACAGTATTGTCGTCAATTACTTCACCTGGAAGTCATTTTTTTTAATGTTTTATATGAAATTGCTGAAAGCTTTGTTCACTGTGCGAAATTTACAGGGAATTCGAACTTAGTTAACTTTCCTATTGAACTGTTAGTTTATTGCACGATTGTATCTGATGAGGTCCTGCCGTTATAATGTAGCGCTACTATCGCGGGTCCAGAAATAATGAGCCTCTCACGAGGAAACCTTTGGACATGCCTGACTCTCGTTTCATTGATTTATATATCGATCGATAGAGCATAGCGAGCTGGAAAAAACCCTAAAAGAATTTGTCCCAATGGTTCTTTTTTTAAAAGTTATTGAATTTTTTATTTTTATCGCCCTTTCGTGACTGAAAATGCTAGAAATTCAATAGCTCAGCTGGAATATGTGATACACGGCTGAATTATTTTGCTGTAGTAATGGTAGATGTTTATTATTCTCATAGAAAGTGTAAGCCTTCTACTCCTGTATTAAGTTACAGAATTTTGTTTTTCTATGGAAAATCCATAAGTTTAATGCGCACTGTATTTTTAGATAACACATATTTTCTTCCTTTAGCACAGCCACATCGCACATCTAAATTTTTTTCAAAAAGAAAATATCCTTCTTTTATGGGAGGCCTCTACGTGGCAGAAGGGAAGACAACGTTTTTCTGATGATATTCTTCATCAGGGTAACGGCTAACTATCCCACTCGTGTAGGTCTATATCTCATATAAAGGCTTTCTTAAAGAAAATATACACGTGTTAAAAAGTTACTGTCATCAAGCACCATCAACAAATGCCCTAATTACAAATTTCTTATGACCATTTTTTTACTTTACAGAAACACATTTCTTTTGCTCACTACAATTTTTATCTCTCTTGAAAATAATGAAAAAATTCTAAAATAATAAAAAAAATCCTTTCAGGGTTTTGTCCAGCTCCCTATGCTCTTTCGATCGACACATAAATCATTGGAGTCGGAACTGGGCATGTCCAAAGGTTCCCTGATCAGTATTTTGGCTATAACTTTTTTTCTTTTTAACTCATAGTCATAAGTGTTTTTCGAAAAGATGCGCCGTAAAAGTCTGTACAAAAAATATACGAACACTTTTTTACATACAGTAAAAATAAAAGAGTATAGATGAAATACTGCGACGCTTCAATATTGATTACTTTCCAATCAAAAAATCAGTTTTTTCAGTTTCAGTGCTTTATATTTTACAAAACAAAAGATGAGAAGATGGCCATTTTGTAGCCCTTAAAAAGCTCTACCAATTAGCCATATTGAAAACTCTTCATAGTCACAAGCAGTTGAGGGCGAATTCTTTTTCTTTTTACGATGTCGCTAAAAATGATCATTTTCAAATTTCAGTTTTGAAGTACTTAAGAAGTTCTTTATAACTCACGAGGGAACTGCCCCAAGTGTCCGCTCGCTTTTTTCTTGAAACCTAGTGGAGAATAGATTATTGACTATGCTGATTCCGAATATGACAATGGTTTTTGCTGCTAGGCCTTCGAAGACCTGATTTTCTAGAAAACCAGTTT